GGAATGGCATTCCTGCTGTGTCTTCACCACAAAACCCCAAAGTCCTCTCCTTTTCGTCGATGATCCTCTGTCTTCACCATAAGGGGACAAAACTGTATGGGTTTTGGTTTGTCCCTTGGAGATCAAATTCAAACCCATGCATGGCCATGCCCGTGCCCATGACCGTCTTCTAGTTTCTTCTGCTTCTTCTTTCTCCGTCTCTCTGTCTTAGTCTCTGTCCTTGCTTCCAAGCGTTTGGATTGCTGCCCTCGAATCTCCATTAGCTTGGCCTTGGCATCTCTGAAGGGAGCATCAGATCTCGACGCCATCATTTGCTGAAAACCCGAAAAAGGAGAATATCAAAACCCAAGACGACCAATCCGAATTCAAAGATCTCCGGATTCAACCGTAACCACTGTGAAAAAACTCAAAAGATTGTTCCTTTCTCCAGCAGTAAATTGTTGTTCCATACAAGAAAGTTACCCAGATCAGAAACATTTCAAAGGTCAAGAAAAAAAGTGGTAGTACCTTCAGGTGATCCATGGCAGCCAAATTGAAACCGATTGTATCTTTGGATTCCTGGTACAGATTCAAGTGTTCATGTTAGTCAAATCAAGCATCCAACACGACACTCTTTTTCTACTTTCATCAAAGAAGCCTGGTTTCACAAGGGTACCTTGACTCTTGCATGAAGAATGTCTCTGAGAATTGTTAAGACAGGTCTGGCAGCAGGAGTAGTAACCAACTGGTTATGATGCGCCTGTAATAGAATGGTTGCAACCCTGCAAACCAGCTCGACCTGTGATAGATTTCATGCCGAGCATTAGAGAGATCAAGGAATGAAACGAAACTCGGGTCGGTAGGCAGCTGAGCTCTTGTCTATCCTGTGTTTCATCGATTACAATTCAGGGTAAAAATGTTGATCTTTGAGATTGTGTACATTCTATTATAAGCAACAGATTCAAGAACCACATGGATCTAAAATTATATTCATGCCTAAGATTGTTCTTTAACCACCATACGAGGTCCCCATGTTCACATCTTCAGAAAGTAGCAGTACTCTTCAAAAATCATCAAGCTTCACAGTTTAAGCAGTTTGGAAATGGAGGTAGAGTCTCGGATATAATGAGAAAAGTTATTGATGTAATAAGAGGAATAGAATCACCTTGTCGGGACTTGAACTCCAGTCTTTCAAGTAAGAAAGAAGCTTCGTAGCATCCGAGAAAGGTACAGCCTGTATAAAATAAGAAAAGATTACAACATCGACGAACAAAACAACCGTGCAACGAAACAATGATGCTATAATACTTGGGTGTTGATCAAATATTCAGTTTTTTTCATGAACTGTACAATAAAAGAACCCGTTAAATGCAAGACAGGGAGGTATTTGAATTTGGACATCAAATTACCAATAAGGTCTGCTCAAGATCATTTGTTTTCACATTTGAAGTGGCTCGTAGAACATATTCCGATGGAGAAAGTCCAAGCATCACAATATTTGGTTGGTAATCAACCACCTTTGCCATTGCTTTCTCCTCCTGAAAGTAAACGACACCAAAAAACAAGAACCGCCAATGGTTAAAAAAAAGGACAATTCAATTGGAGGCAGCCCAACCGAGCTGAAGTCCAGCTAAATCAAACTTTCAACTTGAAAAACAAATGGAAAAACCAGGTCTCAATTGAGAAATGGAACGAAGCCCGAAAGCAATTTTGTAAGCCAAGTTACAAATCCCGACCTCATATGCAGAAAGGCTCTTCTTTTCTTCTTCTGCTACATCAATGGCTTCTATAATCGAATCAGTAGCTGTTAATGTCTCTATTGTCTTCTTCCCAGCTAAAGCTGCAACACCTTCCTCAGGGACTTCCTCCTTGGGTGCATGCTTCTCCTCAATCTCAGACTCAAACATCTCTTCCAACCTCTTTTCTTTTTCCTCCTGAAAAATTTCCACCAAAAATCAAATTGAATTAACCCACATATCATATAGAGCCAGCTTCATTTATACAGATTAAACTTGGAAATCTGATTATTCATGCAAAAAAAGAATAATACAAGTAACGATACCTCGAGGAAGAAAGGTTCTTCAGTGCGATCCCAACGACGCATGGACCGATCATGAGACCCTGTCACGATAAAATCACCACGATTGCTGACAGCAAGGCACCATATCTCTGAATGATGACCCTCAAGAGTTAATAACAGCTCAAACTTATCGGCATCCCAGTACTTCAGAACTCGATCTTTCCCGATGCTGAGCATGTAATGAGTATTTCTAACAAACTTCACACCCATAACACTGTAAAAGAGAAATCATGTGTCACTAGAATTGCACGAATTTTTAACGGTAGCTATTGAACTGAATTTTTCAGATTAGCCAAAAAAAAAGAATTTGAATACATGCTAAAACCTTTTTTAGAAATCTGGTGATATTTTGAAGGTACCTGTCACCATGAGCAAAGATGGACTTATGACAATCACCAAAGTCCAAACCCCAAATTTTCAAATTTTTGTCCTGCGAGCCGGTTACAATCAAGTCTCCATCCAATGAAATATCAATGCACATCACCGGCAGCTTGTGACCATATAACGAAAGGTAGAATTTTAGAGAATCCATGTAGAAAACCTGATGAACAAGAAAAGATAGAAGTTGGAGTTACATCATGCAATACATATAATGTTTAATGAGAATGGCTAATTCTTCTTGATTATATGACAAATGAGGCATGTGCTTGAATAAATCGAGACCAAAGACAGCTAAGAAAAAGACATACAGAGAACATGAAAAATGTAGCTACCTTTACTGTGGAATCGAGCAGGGACACTGCAATATATTTAGCATCAGGACTAATGGCAACAGCAAGTACATCATCATTCATCTTCATTGACCTTACATTCGACACAGTAAGTTTCTTGGTTTTCTGCACGTGAATAAACATAATATATTTTACCATGAATCATATATGAGCAAATTGCAAAATACAACAAACAGAAGATGAGAGTATCAAAGAAACATAAGGGGACAAGACTCACTTGGTCGGGCTTCTTCTTGACTAGGTATTCCCAAAACTTTACTTCATGATCTGCACTGACGGTGACAAACCCATTATCATTCGGAATGGGGGCAATTGACCAAATGGTTCCACCATGAGCCTCCACTTCCTCTACTTTGGTGGAACTCCCAATATCAATGATTTCCAGTACCCCATTCTTTGTTCCAACAATACCATACTTATTATTAGGAACGATCAAACTGCACAGTCCATATCCTGAATCAATAGTCCGAAGACAAGAACCTGTTGTTGGATTCCAAATCTTCACTTCACTGTGACTGGTTGACATCAAAAGGGTGTTGTCTTCACTAAGAGTAACACTCCTGACATCAGAACGATGTCCTTGGTGTTCAATAGTGACAGTTTTCTCATTCTCACTACCCTTAAGAGAGTAGAATTCCAGAGAGTTATTGTTCAGAGATAGCACTAATGTCGCCAAGAAATCTTTAGGAATAATTGGACAAAAAGAAAAAGAACATATTTTTCTACTAGCCCTGATGACTTGTAAAAGCTTAAAAACATCAGGGACTGTAGCAGTGGGAGCGCAACCAGCTTCTTCGATTTCATTATTTGCTTCTTCATTTTCGGTCAAATTTTCATCCTCGTTTTTGGAAGATTTCTTCTCCTTCCTGCGAAGCCTGCGCTTTGCTTTCCTGTTTGCCTCGGCTTCATCCAAAACTCGGAATATTTCAATGGTTTTTCCAGCCATTTGACAAGCCAACAGATTTCCCGACTTATTGTATCTTACAGTTGCAACTCTATCCTTTGTCTGTCTCTGAATTTCCCCGAATGACTTCAACATTTCCCATTTATTCCCAATAGAGCGATCTCCATCAGCCTCAACTCCTTTTTCGCTTGTATGAGACACCAATGATCCATGGGGTGAGTCTTTTTTAACAGCAAAAAACCTAAGTTCTGGGTCGGCAGATCCAGTAACTACGTATCTTTCCTCAGGATCAACATCAACGGACCAGATTTCGCTATGATGACCACTAACTATTTGCATACAGTGCTGTGTCTCAAGATCCCAGACTCTCAAGAACTTGTCCTTGGAAGCACTAACAAGTTTCGTATCAGAATCCAAGAAAACAAGATCTGTAACCTACAAAACACAAAGGACGGTTTCCTTGTCAAAATGGAAAGGAAAAATTAAGAATTGAATCAGCACAACTACATCATGATAGAACCATAAAACTAGACATAGGGGTATGTCCAAAAACCTGGTCACGGTGGCCACGGAGACGAAAAAGGCCTGTTTCTCCAACAACATCCCACAAGATGACATCATTGTCTTTACTTCCAGATGCGAGCATAGACCCGAGGTTGTTGAACCGGAGGGCAGTCACTGCTCCCTTATGCCCATTCAGGGTAGTCTCACAGGTTCCTTTCTCGCAATCCCATATTCTTATACTTCCGTCTGCATACCCAACTGCCACCTGGTTGATTCCATTACATCAAACACCAATTAAGTTCTAACCATTTGTGAAATGCAAGAGAGTATAAAGCAGGACAAAATATCATATTTCTCTTAAACCTTCATGGGTCTCCTTTGCTAAGCTTCATTCGAAACATTTTTTCGTCTAAAGTCAGAAAAAGAATACAAGGAAACAAGACCATAGGATTAAGCCAAATTCCAGAGCAACCCAGAGCTAATGATTTCAATTAACCTAATAAAATCAAGTACTCAACTTTTTCATTTCCCAAAATTTTATCCCAAAAAGAACAGAAATTTCACCAATATTAACTAAGCAATCAAGTCAGCTTCTCAGCATAATACTGTTCAAGCTCCGAAATTTAGTCACCGCTTGGAATTTCTTTCCCACAAGACAGAAAAAACCACAAATGTCTCTCATTCTGAACTCTATTGAGCAACCAAATAGATAACTAAATCAAAATTGTTCAGGGATGGAAACATAACGAACCGAAGAATCATTTACCAGATTAGACGCAGAGGAGGCGATTGAGGTGACGGAGAGAGAGGGTCCGCCGCGTGAGGAGGTCGGAGCTAGGGTTTTGGTGCAGACACCTTGTCGGACATGCCAGATTCCGACCTTCTCCAGCGCCGGAGACAGAACATGTTTCCCCGTAGAATCGTACGTGATGTTCGAATCCAAAGACGCGATCACGCCGAACGAAGACGCGGGCTCGTACCTTAGGTAGGCCTTCACCATTGCCAAAAAGCTTCGGTTTTTCTGTTCTTGTAATCAAACCCCCGAGGAATTTAGAAAGGGAGGACTCTCCCTGAAACTGAAAGGAATCAAACTCGATGGAATAGAGCTCCCATTGACAAGAATTCTGGCTGTGGAAGAGAAGACCGAAGAAATCCCAGAAGAAGAAAAAATCCTCCTCTCTCTGGAAAAAGGAAGACAGAGAAGCTGATTGGGAGTTTTAGGGTTTAGGAAGGGTTCTACTCTCACTGTTTAAATATTACAAAATATATCCTTAAACTTTTGCAAGTTTAAACTTTGACCCCAAATCGTTTTTAATCACTTTTGAACCCTTACTCTGAGACATTGCAAATTCGCTCCAAACAATAACAAAAATAATAATTATTTCATTGGCGACGCCTTCAATCTTCTGCTTTTAAAACTATAACTGAAATTGATGTGAAGCCCTAAGTATTTTAGTTATATATTGAGTAACACGAAATCATGTATTTATCAAACATTAAAGGCATTAAAAAAATCAGAAGAACGAATGTGCTGATACGCTTATTGAAATTAAATATACAAATACAATGCAAGACTTTGTACAATACATTTTTACACATCGAATAAACATATTGCACTCTTTACAAATCACAAAAAATAAAACAATTTTTATTTTTTTTTTTACAAATGGCAACACTTCGACAAATCTCCAAACCTTCGATCTTGTCCAATTTCATTCTATATATAGAAACCATCTGTTTATAGTCATTTCTCCGTCACTGCAACATTAGCAGCACCGTCGTCGTTGTCCGAAGGATAACCAATTCCGTGACGTTTGGAAGGGAACACCGTGAAAACGACGCCGGAGATAGCTCCGATCACCGGAGGCAAAATCATCAGAAAAAGCTTGCCGGCGGAAGCAAACGCCGGGTAGAAACAGTTAACGGTGTTCGAGTCCAGCAGCGATATAACCGAAAACACGACCAGAGAGAAGAATGCATGGACGAAGTCTCCGACACGAAGCCGATAGCCCGACAGGTCGGCCGACGAGGAATTCGGCCATAGACCCTTCACGGTGGCGATTCCGTAGTGTAGGGTTCCGTCGGCGGTTCTGTAACTGTCGGTGAAGCAAGAGAAGCAGCACGAGAAGGCGCAGACGACGATGAGAGCTCCGGTCAAGTATTTGTTGACGAGAGAACAGTGGCCGTTGTTGGTTAAGACAGGGTTTAGGAACTGGAACACGAAGACAGTTCCTGTCGGGAGGAGCTTGATCAGATCTCCCACACCGGAAAACGTCTTATCTCTTATGGATTTGAACGTTTTCGCCATCTTTTTTTTTTTTTTTTTTGATAATGTGTGTAGTTTGTGATTTAATTTCTTCGTTTGGGTGTTTTTATAGGAATGGGAAGAAGGGTTTGCTTCCACGTCAAAATGGTTTTTGTTTGGGTTTGCTTATACTCTTTGGAAAGTGGGAGCCTTTTTATTTGCTTTTGGGGATTGCTTTGTTACCCTTTTTAGCGTTTCTGAGTTTCTACTTGAAAGCTTTGCTTTGGGGATTAGATTTGTTGCATTTCTTGATATAGTAATCATTGCGTCATTATATATATATAATATATATATAATATCAAAGATTGTGATACGACTTCGAAGTATTGACCATATGTATATATACATATATATACATGTAACTTTCGATTTGGTTTACACGTTACCTTTATATTTGTTTATTATTGCCATGGTATATAGATAGTTGAGCATAATATTGTTTCTTTTATCGCATATTTCATTCAATTTTACAATATATATATATATATATATGTGTGTGTGTGTGTGTGAGAGAGAGAGAACTTTGATATATATTGAAAAAGGGCAAAAAAACGATAATAAGAGAACTTTAATTGTTTATATTTAAAAACAAATCTTTTATTAAAACAAGCACATGGGCCAGCCCAACTTCTTCTAGTCGAGCTTGTTAGAATAACGTTAATTGGGCCTTAAGATTTGAACATTTTTCCTTTTAATAATTAAATAACACTTCAAAACAAAAAGAAACATAAAAAAAAATGTATGTATACATGACAATTCGATATTATAAGATTCTCGAGGAAAATCAAAGGGATTTTTTAATACCCTACCATCACTTTATAATAGATGAGTCTCAGTCGATATTTTGAGTAGGGATATCCGTTTCGGGAAACGGTTCAGGTTTGGGATGGGAATACATTGGTTCGGTTTTTTCGGTTTTACAAAAATAGAAATCAATTGATTTTTATATTATATTCGATTCGGTTTTGGTTTTCGTTCAATTTGGTTCCGGTTTTTATTAAAAAAAATATAGATTTTTTAAAAAAAATTGGTTTTTCTAGATTTTTTAAAATACGGTTTGGTTATGAGAATTTCGATTTTTTAAAAATAATAACGTTCAAAATTTTAGAATGGTTTGGATAAAAAAATACTGTATTTTTCGGTTCGATTTCGAAAAACCGAAGCGAAACGTCGATCCCTAATTTTGAGTATATAAAGATAATAATACAATATTGTTTAGTTTTATGGATATCAGCAGGTGGATCCCATATGTCTTTATATATGGGCTAAAGACATTTTAATATATATATATATATTACAATATCATTTATTAAAATTGCATAATATATATAGAAATGGCAGATAGATAGTTGAAGGGCCAATGGACCGTACCAACCACACGAGGCGATGAGAGGGGTGGGTCGGACCACGTGAAGAACCTTCCATTTCTATTAATGTGGTTCGCATCATCATCCATGGGTTTGTTAAACTTACGGTATATTTGTGGTTATCATTTTCAAAAAAGGGCCGGTTCAGTTCATTCAATAACATGCGCCCACATTTATTAATAATGATAATAATAATAATTATTATTATTATTATTATTATAGTAAAAGAAAAACAATGGTTATGGTTCATCCACGTATGCGATGCATCAGTTTGGCAAAGGTGGCAGGAGCGAATGCAGAGCAATATATAATTATTGGTTCGTGTGAATTCAAAATAACTTCTTATAACTACTCCTCCATCTCTATTAAACATACATATCACAATAATATATATATATATATATATATATATATTGTTGTATTTGTAGCCGCATGGTCTTGTCATATAAATTTTAAAATATAAAACTTTAACGAGCAATCATTTATTGTATAAATAGCTAGCAACAATGAAGTTCACAAGTTATCGTGTTCTATCAACAAATTATAGTTTATTCATTCCAATTTTATTTTAGAACATACGTTCGAATAAAAACTTGTACCACACAAATATATCTATACATCTATATTTTAATCAATCACGTACAATATACACATAGATATTTATGCTATAAAAGAATATAGCTAACACTTTAAAAATTGTTAATCTAAATAGTCTATTAAAATACAATCATGATTTTAAAATTTTATTATATATTTTTTTAAGTAACGTATACCTCTTAAATTTTTTTCAACATAAAAGATTATCAAAAAGATTGGTTACACAATAGTGTGTGTGTGTGTGTATGTATATATATTCATATTTTTTTATGTGAGAAAAATATTCAAAACCACATATTTTTTTTTTATATGAAAAAGGGGGTAATTATTTATCATTTGCATGTGAACAGCGTCGGTGGTGGGGCAGAACAATTTACGAGGAGTATAACGCTCAGACGATGCATGCCACATAATGGCTTTTTCGACACCCATGCCATGCCATGCCATGCCATGCTGGTATTTGTCGCGTTTGGTCTCTGACGCGATCCATTCGGCGGTTGGAAAACCGCGTAACTTGTGGCAACGTCAAACCATTTGCCGTCTGCGTCTGCGTCTGCGTTTGCGTTTGCGATGAGAGTTGTTTGCTTATAGTTACTGTGATTATGGCGGCTAGCGAACCAACTCAATAAAAATTTGTTATCCCCTATTCCTATCCCCTAACATTTTGGTTACGGTTTTACTCTATCGAAATAGAGAGAATAATTCAAATCAAATCAAACCAAACTCGCCCAAACCCTATGGTAATTTAGTTGCTACATTGTTTTTTGTATTTTTATACTAAAATTTATAAATTTATTATAGAGAATATATATATTATATAGTATATACCCATGTAAAAAGAAAAAATATATATATATATCATTTGATTGAGACAACCCGAGAAGTGTTCGCACAAAGTATATCCCTATGGTAATTTAGTTACTACGTTTTTTAGTATTTTATACTAAAATTTATAGATATATAATATATATATATATATATAGTATATAGTATATCCCATGTTAAATATAAAATAATATCATTTGATTGAGACAACTCGAGAAGCGTTGGCCACAAATTAAAGATTTTCAAGAGTCCATCTAAAAATAAATAAATTAATCAATTAAAAAAGGGAAGAAGTGTTTGATTTTGCTACGTTTTTAAATTTTATTTTGTTATTTTCTCGTTCGAAGTATATGTAAAAAGAATATTGTTGACTGAAGTTGAACAGAAATTCAGATGCATGGTATTTATGGTCATGACTTATAACATAATATAAGCATGAAGACGACGGGAAAATAAAATGTTAAAAAATCTAACTCTGTATATTACATGTTGTTTTGTTTGGATCGACGCAAATATTTTAAAGAATATATTATTCCGAAGGATACCTCTACCTGGATAAAAGAATTCATATATATATATATATATATATATACACACACACACACACACACGCGTTCTTCGATACGTCGTTATTTACAACTGCGATTACAAGTCTGGTACCATTCAATTATTTAACAATGGTTATATAATAGTGTTGTTGTATAGTCAGTCCAAAATAAAGTACGAGAATTATTGGATATTTTTATTCATATTATTCGGTCAACGAGGAAATCTCCGTGATATTATTATATTTATATGTAACACGAAACGCAAAACAAATAATTATTTTCTGTAAATGAAAAGATAGTCGAATATATTTTTTTTTTTTGGTATGAATGAGATAGTCGAATATTTGATATGTGACGGGGAATATATCCACATATACATCACGCCTACGACACAAATCTCACCGCTGAGTAATTATGAATTCGGCTGATTTCGGTACAGAAAAAATTCAATACAAATAATACCTTCACTCCTCTCTTGACTTCGAAGACAAAAACTGAAAACAGAACCGAAACAAGAGAAACCAGAGATCGAAACGGAATGGAGATCGAAGATTCCTCTCGTGTTCATGTGATGCTGGTCTCGTTCCCGGGACAAGGCCACGTGAATCCACTTCTTCGTCTCGGCAAGCTCATCGCTTCGAAGGGTTTGCTCGTCACTTTCGTCACGACTGAGCTTTGGGGCAAGAAGATGAGAAAAACCGACAAGATGGTCGCCGGAGAAGTCACTCCTGTCGGAAAAGGCTTCCTCCGTTTCGAATTCTACGACGACGAGTGGTCGGAAGACGACGAGAGACGAGCTGACTTCCCCGTCTACCGGCAGCAGATCGAACTCACCGGGAAACGAGAGATCTCGAGGCTGATAAAGATCTTCAAGGACAAGAACGAACCCGTTTCTTGTCTTGTGAACAACCCTTTTATAGCGTGGGTCTGTGATCTTGCCGAGGAGCTTCATATCGCTTCTGCTGTCCTCTGGGTTCAATCTTGCGCATGTTTTTCAGCGTACTACCATTACGAGCATCGTTTAGCTCGGTTTCCGACCGAGGCTGAGCCCGAAATCGACGTCCAGTTGCCATGCATGCCTCTGCTCAAACACGACGAGATCCCTAGCTTTCTTCACCCTTTATCTCCCTATGGACCTTTCAGAGAAGTAATCCTCGAACAGTTCAGGAATCTGAACAAACCCTTTTGCATTCTCATCGACACTTTCGACGCTATCGAGCACGACATCATCGACCACATGTCCAAATTTTGCCCTCTCAAGCCCGTCGGCCCGCTCTTCAAGCTCGCCAAATCCATCGCCGGAGGAGATATCTCCCAGCCGGCGACATCCGACCACTGCCTTGACTGGCTCCCCAAACAACCACCGTCCTCCGTCGTCTACATCTCGTTCGGAACCGTGGTCTTTCTGAAACAAGAACAGATCGACGAGATCGCGCATGGCGTCCTGAACGCCGACGTTTCGTTCTTGTGGGTGGTCAGGCCACCTCCCGAAGGGCTCGTCAACGTTTCTCCGCACGTTTTCCCTCAAGAACTGAGAGAGAAAACCGACAAGGGCAAGATCGTGGAATGGTGTCCGCAAGAAAGAGTTCTGTCTCACCCTGCCGTGGCCTGTTTCGTCACCCACTGCGGATGGAACTCGACGATCGAGGCGTTATCTCTGGGAGTTCCCGTCGTCTGTTTCCCTCAATGGGGCGATCAAGTCACTGACGCCGTTTATCTAACGGACGTTTTCAAGACGGGACTGAGGCTGAGCCGCGGCGAGGCGGAGAAGAGGATCGTGCCGAGGGATGAGGTGGCGGAGCGGCTGCGGGAGGCGACGACGGAGGATCTGCGGCGGAGGGCGTTGAAGTGGAAGGCGGCGGCGGAGGCAGCGGTGGCGGCGGGTGGGTCGTCGGACAGGAACTTGCAGGAGTTCGTGGACAAGTTGCGTGGGAAATCTAAGACAGTGAGCAACGGTGTCAGTGTCTTGTCTTGATTGAATCCGACATTGACGTCTTTTGTTTTCTCTCTCTCTCAAATCTTTTTCTTGTTCTTGAGTCCCGTGTCCTCTTTCTCCGTTTGTATCCACCCGCGCTGTTAAATAAATATCATCACGCACCACGAAAAGCTAAACATCATTACAAAATTTACAATTTGTATCATATTGTTTTGACTTTGTAATTTATTCCATTTTTTTAACCAATCGATTAAATTAAGATTCTTGGACGTCCGAAACTAATAATCAAATGAAAATTTGGAATCTCCACGTTCGCTAGAAGAACAATCAAAATTTTGGTAGGAAAAAAAAGATATCTCGGTTACAAATATTGAAATTGATTAAATAGTTTATAATAATAAATGATGACAAAAAATAGTTATAATAATATATTTTTAAAAAAAATTTACATCGGACTTTCTAGTGTCTTCCTTGCGTTGGGAGTTACAGCACCGCAACACAAAAAGGCAGTATTCACTTACGGCCAAAACTCTCGTGACTTTGAATCGAATTTATGAAGTTGAACGGACCGTTGTACGAACATACACATTTATTTTTTGTGTACCGGCCACTGGTTATAGTTATTTAATAACCGCAGTTAGGATATTCGGTTCAGAATTTTAGCGGTTCGATTCAAAAATAGTTTATTCGATATTCTAAAATTTATACTAAATTAGTACCGTATACTATTCGATTCGGTTCGATCCTAGTTTCGGTATAGTTCGGTTTCGGTTTTTGTTAAAAAAATAGATTTTCTTAAAAAAAATCAGTTTTTTTGAGAATTTTATAAAATTTGATTTGGTTCGATTTCGAAAAATTCGGTTATATGCTAAATTTTTTTAGAATATACAGTTCGCAAAAAAAAATATGAAATTTTTTGTTTCGATACAGTTCGATTCTAAAAAACCGAATCAAAAAGTCTACCCCTAAAAGCAATCAAGTTAGGCATTGTATTTGGATGTGAAAGATAATTTTTTTGTTAATAAAATGTAAAAAAGGGAAAATCCCAAAAAAAAAACACTGGACTTTTTAATTTTGATAAAAAATACTGAATTTTATTTTTTATCAAATAAACATTAAACTTTTTAAACGAATCTAAAAAAACACTGAACTTTTTAAGTGATCCAAAGAATACATGAATTTTTCTCCGATTATCAAAAAAACACTGAACTTTTTTAGTGATCCAAAAAAATACATGAACTTTTTTCGATTGTAAAAAAACCAAGAAAAATAATCTGACGTGTTTGTATCTGATTGTGTCACATAAGTCATTTTGTTTATTTTGACAATCGTTGAAGAGTTAAGTGTTTATTTTGTCAAATTTAAAAAGTTTAATGTTTATTTGATAAAATAAAAAGTTCAGTGTTTTTTTTGTCAAAATTTGAAAGTTCAGAGTTTTTTTTGAGATTTTTCCAAAAATAAAATAAAAAAATTTCGCGTTAGATTGAAGACTTAATTTTGCATTAAAGGAAAAAATGACGATGCCTTGTGTATTTGCCATCGGAATTAATTTTTTTTAAAAAGAAGAAAAATGCTCATCCTTTTTCCCTTTCCTATATTTCACAGGTGGTCTTTTTCATTCTGACAATTCAGTGAAATAAATACGCATTTAACATAGTTTTTTTTACCACACCCCATCAATGTGTTAAAAGGAGGTCCAATATGCATTCACTAAGCCTAATTTAACAAGAAATAACAATTAACAACATTATAATTTTTCACATTTATGTGGCTTGATGATATTCGTGAAAATATATGTGTACTATATAGTATAGATGGTAAAATATAGCAAAATAAATGTTTTTTTCTCCAGATTTGCCCGAATTTAGCCCGACACGCACGAATCTTATGTCGCAGAAAATATTTAATTCTTCAACCCACATTTCTACCTCGTTTTACAATTTGACCCCAAAGAAATTCTCGCGAATCTTCCAACCCCGGCCTCACAAAGTACACAGTTAATATAATTTTTTCTAAATCCCACCCCTAACTTCTTCACGACTCTCAGATCAACCCCCGTTCTTTAAAAAACGTCAGGAGAAGGACGAATCTTAACGAATCGCGAAAACCGTAACGGAGATGATTCGGATTCCCGTTTATCATAACTCGAGGCGGAGCAATCGCCGGAGATCCCGAGTCGCCGAGTCATCTACTGGAACGACTTGGCTATTGTTCTTCCTCCAGAACGACGGGAATGGTAGCGAGCTCGGCGCCGGCGACACGACGGATATCGCCGATCCGGCATAGATGTCGTCACCGACTGCCGTCTCCGACGGTTTTGGAGCTGCGATTCCGTCGTCGTTATTCGACGGCGATTTCTCGCGATAGATCTTCGAATCCAAGGACTCTCCTCTTCTCAGAATCGTTACTTTCTCCGTACTCAGATCGTCGGCGGATTCGGTGATCGCCTTCTTTGCGTCGTCGGAGCCGAACCGTCTCCTCTGATCCGGTCGCGACGGCGGTTTCCGGTGACTGTTCCTCCGATGCTGAAAAACCGCCGGAGAATTTCTTATCCGGTCAACCAAACAATTTTGCGGCCGCAAAACCTCCGTGACCATCGTTAACAAACGAAAAAAAAAATCAATCTACCCAATAAAAAAAGCTAAAAATCTCGACGGATGAAGAAGAAGAAGAAGGGTACATCAACCCTTACCCTTTTTCTTCTATCTCTCCTCGTATTTCGATAATCTAATTCGTGGGTAATGCTCTTCAATGGAGGTGGGAATAAATAGAAGAGAAAGCCATGGCGAGAGGTCAGAAATGGCGGACGGAAGGAGAAGGGCATTTCTGTCCGACCATTATTTCCAATCGTAACCACGCGTTTGGGGAAAGGCCAACGTATTTTCCTATTATTATTTTTAAAATTTCTGATATTTATCAAAAAATATTCTTCAATCTCGATCGTGAGTGTTACTCGCTCATGGCGCGCGTGGGCTTTCCTCGTGCATATTCGTTCACAATAAGCCCATTTACGATAGATAATATTTGGGCTTTGGCCCGTTTTGGCTGCCTCCGTATGGGTCAGAAAATAGTATTTGGGCTTTGGCCCCTAGCCCTCCATAAGATTTTTTTTTTAACCAAACTATCAATAAATTATTCTTTGCCAAAACAATTAAATAAACCCATATCTTAGTCCATCTTTTCCACACCTAAAGAGGGTGATTTCTTCCTAAAATAGATATATAGAATATATATATAATATATGATCTTTCATAACCGGAAACTGTACCTTTTTAAAAAATCAGTATGGAAGACAAGACATTTACATTTTATGAGATTGAAATCTGCTTATATGTTAGGGCCGTGACTTTCATAAAACAAACAAACGCTTAGGGGCCTCCACAAATTGTAACGACTGATCAAATATATTGAGAATATTTACAGGATACTCTTTCGCATTTTATACTTCACAATGCATAATATATATATATATATATATATTAATTGTATCTCTATATCCTAATAATAGATATCGAGTTTGGTTTTAGTTAAAAATGAACTTGATAGGGGATCTTCCTAATTCCGGACACGAGACAGTTAATATAGTTCGTTAATCGTAACGTAAGATCCTTGTCATCAATACCCTTATTTAATAGTTAAAATATAATTAATATTAATTAAATTTTGATCATTAAAACGTTGAGTTTATTGGAATTAGGTCGTTTTAATTAAAGATAAAATTGGAAACTATTTTAAAATTTTACCAAAAAAATCTAAAATAACATCTATTTAGTAACAAATTTTTTTGTATATAACATCCATATAACTCTTGATATATAATATATAATTTAATTAGCTTTAACCATTTGGGAACCCAATTATTGGCCTTATGAACACATATTAATGAAGATATTATTAAAATGACCAATCCAATTCGTATCTCCATTTAGTGGGGTGACGGGGGAAGATAATATATTAGACAGTTTTATTCCTACATTTTATGTAGAGAGCCTGATTCGAACGCACGATCTCAGATTCCACGGTAAATGGTTTTATTGTTGATCCAAGTCGGTCCTTCATTAACTTAGATATTATTGCAAAATAAAATGGTCCTACTTATTGAACTACTATATAAAGAAAAACCCTCTCCCTGAATGTGAATCATTCAAACTCAAAACACACTAAAGAAATTATCAGAAGCATTCATACAGAAATGCTAGAGCTTGTCGGCCCAAGGCTTGTTATAGCCATATTTGTGAAAACGTGCCATTGGGTTTACCGGCGGCGAAACCCTAAATGCAGAGGCTAACTCCCTCGGGGATCGATGGGTTTTCCGATGAATCGGAGAGACTTTCGAGTTCATGAAACCTCACGACTTCCTTCAAATCTCACCTTTTCTCAAGAAAAGATTGCTTAGGTCACTTCTCTTTCTTGGATTTTTTTAGGGTTTTTTTTTAATTACAAGAGACAAGACATTATATATGATCTGTAATAACTTTCATCAGGTACGGCCCTGTGTTTCGGACAAGTCTGTTCGGGACAGGAGAAGTGATTTCCACCGATCCGGGAATGAACATGGAGATTGCGAAGGCCAACGGCTTTCTCGTGGGAGCTACGTCGAGCATAAAGCGTCTATTCGGAGAAAACAACTTGTTCATTCAGGGCAAAGATATCCACAAATACGTTCGAAGCTTGACTTTTCGACTTTTCGGGTCCGAAGGCTTGAGATGCAGAATGATAAGCGATATCGATTTCGTGACTCGCAAGTATATCGAGATCGGAGCTCGTGAAGGCTCTTTCGATGTCAGAGAGACCGCTATAAACGTAATAGCATCGAGATATTTCGTTTTTACGGACTGTTATTTACGTTCAAATCTTCATGGTTTATTCAACTTTTTTATACAGACTCTGATCGAGTGCCTTGCGAAGAAAGTAATGGGAGATATGGAGCCCGAGGCAGCGAAAAGAGTCGAAAACTGTTGGAATGCGTTCAGAAGAGACTGGTTTCAGTTCTTTTTCAACGTTCCCGGGGTAATCGCTTCTATCCGCCATAGCAGCGATCGGGGCAAATCCGATTTTATATTTAGGGTTTCTTGATAGGCACGTAATAGGACAATGAAGATGCTAAAAGAGAGGATTTTGAAGAAGAAGACATCAGGAGAGGTGCTTCGAGATTTCTTGGAGACGATCTTCGGCGAAATGGAAAGAGAAGGAACGGTGGTTCTGGACGTAGACAAAGCCGTCGATCGACTTGATCCTTTACCCTCTTTCTTCTGTCTCAAGAAACGACTCCTCGAGTTATCGCAGCAACTGTGAAGCTCGTAGCTGGAATTAAACCCTAACGTCTTGTAAGAGTTACAGGTTCGAGAGATCTTTCCTCTGTCCAAATATTTCCCGTTTAACCAGCTCGTAATTACGTAATTTAATCTGCATGGGGCCAGAAAGAGCATGAAGAAATTGTTCGCAATCGGGATGAAAAGGAAGATGGACTAACGTGGGAAGAATACAAATCCATGACTTTCACTCACATGGTGAGTCATATACATATACATATACATATGCATGCATATATATATACACACACACACTATATATGAGCTTATATTATCAACGTTGTAACGGTGTCTAAACGACAAAACTAACAACCGTGGTCGTGTTTGTATATTACACTTCGGATTACAAGTACGGTGCCTACAGTGCATAGAAGAACGGCTCATGACTTTGAGATTGGAGGCAAGTTAACATCTTGGCCCTAAATTACATCAAAATTTTCGTTCAAGGACATATGAAAATTCTGATGGATCATTACAAGAATTACCAAAATAATAATTTGTTTTGTTTTTCATTCAACGAACCAAGAGAGATATATATATACACACATATACACGCATGATATATTTATACATATGTATATATTTCTACAGGGTTTACAATTCCGAGTGGTTGGTTGGTTCTGGGACACCCTCTTATTCATTTCGACGCACAAAAGTATGAAGATCCGTTCGCATTCTATCCATGGCGGTGGAAGGTATTCTCTGACTCTCAACTTTCACAATCTATAGTTACTAAAAGAACAACCGAATTTTTCGAAACATTTTTTGGTAACCGAGTGTCAATCTCGAAAGCCAACCGTATGATTTGGAATATATATCTTTCCCCAAACTTGAGGTTCAAATTCGGAACGGGACAAACACTTTGCACGCTCGTTTCATCGGTTGGACTATCCAAACTTGGATGGGAAAGGATGATAGGGTCGAACATTCAAATTCATATAAAGTTCAGATTTTTTTCGAACATTTTTGCTAAAGTTTGGATTTTTGTAATCAAATAATGTGTTTTATAACTTCAGGGCAAAGATTTGCACACGACCGTATCAAAGACTTGCCTGCCACTTGGGGGTGGGTCGAGACTATGCGTAGGAGCTGAGTTTGCAGAGCTGCAAATTGCAGTTTTTATACATCATTTGTCCTGATACAGGTTGATTAATTACCACCTAAACACATGCATTAATCCGAAAAATCAAATACAAATGAACGTGTGGGCCCCACACTAACGAGTGAATATACTGATTTCTCATGTATCTATCGACCTACCTCTCCAAAAGCTATATGCTGTGTTATGTAAGGTGCCACCGGTTAACAAAACCAACTCCGGTTATCGCCGGTTAACTATTTGGCTGTGCAATGCATTTAGGAATTCTGTTCGAATATGGAACTACATATAACATGACTCAGCACAGACAACCATATTTCTGTGACAAGCATAAAGCATTAGGTATATGATAATTTTGGCAAATAGATGTCGAATGCACAAATTGATCTTTCACGATAAGGGTATCTATCATTCATTCAACTCAGTTGAAGCTAAGTCGTAAATTTGAAAACCGGAAAAATCAGATTCACACATGGAAATGATATTATTGGTATTCACAAACCGATGACTCGGAGGTGGAGATTCCAGTTATTACCCGACAACCAAACAGAGGCTGTGCACTTCAGTTGTTGGCCTGCCTCAAAACCCGCAAGATGGAGAGGAAGAGGTTGAGGATGTCCAAATAGAGAGCGACGGATGCCAGAATGTACTCATCATACGTGAAGCGTTTGATGAGGTTGTCAGTATCGTACACTATATAGCCGCAGAAGATCAGAGCACTGATTCCGCCGTATATGGCCACAGAGCTTGGGCCGAGAGGGAAGAACATCTGAAAAAACGATAAGAAATGACAGGGTTTTCATGTGTCTGAATGCGGGTATCGTGAAAGGGGCTTGCTTTATTGACGAGAAGGGATTCTAAGACAGACCTGGATAAACCCAGTTACGATGAGGATGATGAGGCTAGTGAACAAAATGGGTCCGAGAAAGCTGAAGTCTTTTCCCTTCTTAGCCGCCCAGAATGTGTAAGCGGTCAGAGAGGCGACCACCGTCAGTGTCAATATCAATGCTTCAAGCACAATTCTTCCTGATACACATGATAGACAAACAGAATCATCAACAAAAAGTCAGCCTTCGATTCAAGGAAGGTTATGGCAGGAATTCACAACAGATGGCAAATAACGAAAACGAGGATATCGGTGAAGGGAAAAGACACGAACCATCTGTGTTGGCACAGGTCACTCCGACAGTGAAACTCAATGAAACAGTGAAGAGACCGAGGAGGATAAGGTTGAGAGGATGCTTCTGGTGGTAGATGTGCAATGGCCATATCACTGCATGGATTAGCTCGAAGATTTGACAATGGCATTAACTGCAAATTCTTGTTAAGGTTACTTGAAAAGAATAAGGGAATTCCAATCAGAGACAGAGATTCACATTTCATCGAATTACAGCACAAATGAACAGATCCTGCAAATCCTCAATCAAACCCTAAATTCTGAAATCCATAAAAGATCTATTACTCCTAAAAAAACCAACAATCGAAACATGCGAATCCAAAAGCCATGGATCAGAGCCCTAGAAGAGAAATCACGTACGGACAAAGGGGACGATGCAGAGGAAGAGGAGGATGCCAGACGAGCCGGTGAGGAGATCAGTGACGGAAGGGTTGAGGACGACGGAGGCGGAGATGACGGTGGTAAGGAGGAGCTGACCGGAGAGAATACCGTAGACCTTGCGGATGAAGCCCCACCGGAGCTGATTCTCGCCGTCGCTGAGGCCAGGGTAAAGCGTCGCCTCTCCGCCGCCCATCTCTAGGTCTACATCCTTCCCGCCGGCGCCGGTGCTCACGCTCGCGTATCCGTACGGTTTCTCCATGGCTCTGCAGATTTCTGAACACGTTCTTCCTTGGTCAAGTCTAAGGGTTTTTTTTTTTGGTGGGAAAGAGATCAATGCCAAGTCAGTTCCCATTTGTCTGCGGAAGTTATAAGGAAGATCTTGTCCAAGTGAAAATTGCATAAAGAGCCCCCAAACTTTAATCAAATAACAGATAATGCCTATATTTTTGTCTGTAATCTTAGATCCTATTTCTTGTATAAAATTTTATATTAATTCCTTTTGTATTTAGTCAATTGACATCCAAATTACACCAGCCTGTCGATATCCAAGTACGGGCTTAGATCCAATCGTCTGAAAATTACAAAACCCTAAACTAAATATTATCTAATATGCTAATATTCCGTGATATTATACCTTTCATATAAAATAAAAAAATCCTTTGGGGGACAAAATAAAAAAAAAAAATGAAAAAGATATTATCCTCGTTAACCGGAGTGTGTGTGTATATATATATATATTATAAAATAACCATACTTCTCAGCCATTTGTATACAAAAAAAAAACAATGCTTCTGTCTCTAAAACATTGTCCAGTTCGTCACTTTCTCCCTTTCTTTGCATGGATTCTGCAGAAATTACCAAAAAAAAAAAACTGTCTCTCCGCCCATAAGAAGTCACAATGGAATGAGTTTTGCATCCAAACCGATGGGGAAAATCCATCAAACATCTATCAATCAGACGAGGAAGCAATCAGACCAGACCGCAGTTACGATTACACCGATCAAACAGAAAACAGACGCAAAATCCGCTGTCTTAACCGATGAACCCGAGAAGAAATACAGCTGGTGAGCATTGCAGTCCCCTCTGAAGCCTCTCACAATCATTGCCTATGTTTCCAAGAAAACAAAATCAAACAATTGCATCATCTTCCCTACAACAAGATCCATGCTTTGATAAACAAAAACCGGGTAAAATCCCGGGTATCAACTATCAAGACAAGATCGCAATCCGACGCCCTTTCCAAGCCTTAACATGGTTTACCATAGTCATTTTCCCTAGACGAAACGAAAGATCAAACCTGTGATATTTGCTCAGCATGGCGGAAAATATTTGTGAAGATGCGGCGAATGAAAGAAGCAAAAACTACAAGAGAAAAAAAACAGCCACAGGGGTTAACAAACATCATCTAGATAAATCATGTACGGATAGGAAAAAAAAGACAAGAGACAGTTGCAGAAAACTGAAGAGAAACTTAGATTCTTACTATCGAGTGTCTCCAAAACTGTCAACTGCTGCCAGTTTATCCTCCGGGATACAACTCCAAGTGCGACACTACGTACCTTCAATATACGGTTTATACAACATAATTTCAGCTAATAATTGATCTTTGTAATGTGAAGCGAAACCAGAATGAAAATAAGATAAAAAGAACCTGACCTCGTCGAAAACCAAGCTAATGAATCTCAATGAGAGCAAGAGCGTTAGAATCATTTCACCCACCGGAACACCAATATATGTCAATGGGAATAGAAACCAACGCAAAGCTAGAGCGAGTTGCTCGGGTGTTGTGGTCGCAAGACAAATGCTAGCACTTTGGAAGATCTGAGACAAAACATTCAGTTCCAGTAAGAACAGAAGTTCCTGTCCGTACAGCTCCCAAGGGTTTCGGGATGGGAGAAGTAGGAAAGTAGAAAACCCGACTTACGATAAAGGTTAAGCAAGCAGCTGTGCTGGCAACATTCAAGCCTTTCCTTGTGAATTGCAAAGGTCCAAGCTTGAACAACAAGTATGAGTAACCACTCAACGACATGGGAAGGTCGGGCAAGCTTGTGATTGCGGCTGGCGGGGTTCTTGATTGAAGCATTGGGGGCACACTATCCGCACCCAGTCCCAGTGTTATGAAAAGGATCCCTGAAAGCAGTGACACTCTCCCCAGTTGATCCTACATGATGAAGTTAAGAAACTCAGGCAGAAAGAGAGAACATGTGACAGAAACTAGTAATCCTAGCCATTGCAGAAGTTAAATCCTTGCATCCGTTTTCAAGACATTCTGATCATCAGAAGCAAAACCCAACAGAGGAATCCCAGAAAACTATCTCAGTTGCTCATAAACTGGTGGGGGTCTCGATAGAGAGTGAAAGAACTAACCATCCAAACTTGTTTGGGGAGAATGGTTATGGACAAAAGCGCTGTACATATAACAAGTCCCAAGCGCACGAATATGTGTGCTCTTGCTGGAAGAACAACTAGAGTCAAAAGCCATACCTGCACAGAACCAGAATCAGCCGGCGGTAAGAACGGGAACACGCTTTCAATATCTAAAAAAAAACATCTTTGCATATCTGAGAAACTCAAAAGAAACCGAACAGTATCTGGCATCTTGGTTTCACCATTAACACTAACCCAACAGACTTGACAATCTAAAGACAAAGCCATATACCAAACTTCTCATCGATCGTTTCGTTTCTGAACAAAATTAAAAAAGGAGACTCCTTTCACAAAATTCAACGAACCCATAAACAGTATCGGGGAAGAATCAACAAAGCCACCAGATTCAAGTTACCAGTTTGATCCTGGGGTCCACAGAATGGAGGAACGTGACGGGGGAAGAGATGAACTGCCCAATGGGACTTCCGGTAGCGCTCGAAATCAATCGGAAGATGTTCTCGGCGTTGAGTCCCTTGGTCGGCAGCCGGTTCACCCAATTCCCGGTTTCTCCATTTCCATCAACGGAAGCTCTCGCTCGGAGAACCCTCTTCGTGGGAAGACTGAGCGGCCTAGGGTTTGCGAAATTCGGCCGAGAAATCGGAGCTGGGTATCGACGAATTGGGTATCTAGGGATTGGGTTAATGGGGAGAAGATACAGCGAAACTGATGGAAGATATAGATTCATGATCAATACTCAAAGTAGATATGGTAGTCATAGGCACCCATATCTTGAACAAGGAGGCTCTGCCGTCTTAAACCATATATATATACGGTCATTTTACTCAGATATCGGACCACCTGTGGTAAGCTATATCCATGAATTTGACGGATATACCATTAAAAATATAACGTATTAAATTCTCTTTAAAAAACTATATTACTTAATGATTCCATGATTCCATGGAATTTATTCATTCGAAAAAATTGTCATTGCCATATCATAAATAATTTTAAATACAGTTTATAATTGATTCTAAATAAAATGACAAAAAATTCATCTGTCAAATTTAAAAAATAACTACTTTTTTTTTTGCATTTTCATATGTCGTACGATCATAAATATTTTTTATTTTAATTGTATATTAGTTATATGTTAATCGCAATAAATATTATAAAAGATGTGAGAGAAATGATTTTTCAGACTTTTTCAATGAAAAATTGTGTATTTCACTTTTTTTTGGTGGTGTATCCGTGAAATTCATGCGACCCAAGTAGATCATTTGAGTAAAATACTCTATATATTCATCCAAAATATATTTTTTTAAATCCGTGTGTTCAAGCAATATTTGAAATAAATGCAATTTCTAGCACCGAGATTAACTTATCATTATTATTGATATTATTATTATTATTGTTGTTTTTTGGTAATTAGGCATTTTGAATCAAAGTGTGTAGACTAGAATAGTTATGTAATTTGAATTATACATTTTTTTTTTAATTTGAGTTTCCAATTTGAGATGAAATAGATTGTTGTTGTAATACGAAAAGGTAGAATGATTTTATTAAATATAAATTAAAAATTAAAAAACGAATACATTTCGAATTGAGCATCTGAAATTTTTTTTCTGTCAATCTCAATTTCATCTTTTCGAAAATATTTTTGTTCGAATTATCCGATCTCATTTGGAGATTTGAATATCCGAGTTTTGGATATCCAAATATTAGAGAGAACCGTATTGAACCGATGAACCAATGGCCAGACGAAATCCTTTGGAAATGACAAAACCGGAATTGCTGATGATCATACCGTACCGGAAAATAAACCTAACTTGGAAAGCAGATATGAAGGAAAATAATATTAGATGAAATATTGAAGATACTAATTGTTATTATTAGAAATAAAATTAGACAAAATCCGATCAGGGAGATGTGAAAAGGAAAAAAAAACATATGCAACAAATTGATACTCGGAATTTATTAAATCGTTTCCGAAAGTTCATATACCGTAACTTATGTATCTTGTACTAAAATAAAACTATATAATGACATAAACCTCTGAAGATTTATATACGCCGTTGGATCGTATCACTTGGCCTTTTCAACGGCTGTGATTTGGCCGGAGTTCCCGGCGATCTTATCGTACCGGAGAAACAAATCGGCGACCAACAAAGATGCCGTGAGCGTCACGTAATCCTTGGCCGCGCACTGCTTGTTCGACTCGCTCGGTGTTCCGGTTTGCGGTCCGTTGGACCAGTAGAGGTAATTCAGCAACTCGGACCCGGTCTGACCGGTGAACCGGTCCGGTTTAAATTTCTCTGGTTCGTCGAACACGGTCTTGTCCCTCATCACCAGTAGCTGGTAACCGCAGAGAAGCTCCCCTTTCTTCACCTCGTAAACCGAATCGTTCGAGCTTAACCGGAAATCCTTTCTCGCACGTGCGAATTGCAGCGGAACCGGCGGGCTCATGCGTAGCGTTTCGTAAACCACAGATTTGACCAGATCCATCTCGTTGACCGACCTGAAATTCAAATCCGACTGGGACCCACAGACTCGCCGGACCTCGGTTCTTATCCTCTCCTGCAAGCCGGACTCATCGCCCGCGATTCTTCCGATGAGAGAGGGTAAAAAGACGGAAAAGCCCCCGTAGGCGTTGAAACCGAGGACGAAGAGGAGATTGTGGATGGTCTCCTCGCGGGTCAGCCCGAAATCCTCCTGACCTCGCCGGATAACTTCTCCGGCGTGATTTTCGATGAAATCATGGAGCTTTTTGTAATCTCCGGCGACGAATAGAAAAGGGTAAGCCCAAGAGTGGAGGAAGATCTCTTCGAGAGGCTGGAGGATTCCTATCTTGACGGTGGGAATGATCTGGAGAGCGAGCCACTTGTTTAATGAGGTGTATCCGTCGGCGGAGATCTCCGGAGATACGTCGGCGGGCCTGACGCCGGCGAGGGCGGCGACCAGGAAGTTGAAGAAGCTGCGTTGGAGCGGGAAGGTGTACGATGCGGCGCCGTTTTGGGAGATGTCGGACTCGACTGTTCCCCAGAAAGTGTCGAGGTTAGTGAGAAGTTCTCGAACCCATACCTCGGAGCTTCGTTTCAGTATATCCATGGTGAAGCTCTTCACCTATTTACAAGAAAATGGCGTCGTAATAAGAACTCGGTTTTGCTAAACCGGTGGCCATATGTGATAACCGACCGGTTCACTACACCAAAATTAAATGCCAGCACTTAAATTTAAGATTAGAGGCCAATATATGGACCATTTTATCTCACGTGAACAAAAAAATTTGAACAGTAATTCCACGTGTATATTCGTCTGCACGCACTTGATAGAGAAAAATTCAAAACGGTAGTTTTCAGATGCGAGTGATGAAAAATCAACGGATAAATTAAAAACATGACATGTCGTATAACTCATAATATCTAACTTCTGTCCAAACAAATGAAACTTAACCATATAAATCGGAATCGAGAAAAATCAAACTGAAACTGAATCATATCCATTATTATATTTTAAGTTCTCCCATAATATTTTTTTTTCTCCTAAAACCAAATAAATTGGATCCGAAATCCAAGTTCGAACCAAAAATAAACCCTTTGAAAAAAATGAGAAAATTTTCCACTTAATACTAACCAGATCTTAAACCGAAATCTAACTGAATATCATTTAGGGTTTGGACTGCTCACCTCAAATATTTAGGGTTTCGACTAAATTACTTACATCACCGGTTAGTTCAAAGCATACAAGATTTACTCTATGTTGATATATATATATATATATATATATATATATATATATATAAAAGAAAAATATATACATTCTTTTGTAATGACAGAAATTACGAAAACCCTGTCGGAATATAAAAAGGACGTACGGACCTGGCCATGCTTGGGGTCGGTAGGGTCAAGATAAACTCCGACACGAACACCTCCGGTGAAACTCAAGCTCGGCCTGAAATCTCCGATGAGAACATCTTTCTTTTCGACGATATCCATGTCGAAGAGATGGCTGAAAGATTTGACGTCGAGAACGGCGATGATATTAGGGTTTACGTTCCCCAAGAACGGGAACGCCGGAGGGATGTTCGTACGGAACACCGTACTCTTGTACTTTTCGATCCTCGTGCGGAAAAACGTCTCCGGACCCTGGAACCAGAAGTAGTCTAGCCGGTCGGATAACGGTCCCAGCAACGGTAACCCGTAGGAACCCGGGATGGTACGGAGGGGAAGCTGCGACGGCGGCGGAGAAGACGACTGTGGTTTTGTCTTCGGAGATGGCGGCGGTGGCAAAGTGGATGCCATGGTTCTTAGAATCATGTTTCTTGACGAGATTAAACGTCTCCCTCTCTCTCTCTCTCTCTCTGTGGAGTTTTGGGATTCAGGGAAACGAGGGTAATGGACTTTGGGGAAGAAGGGCTGTTAAATGTGACAGAAGTGTAACGTCAGGACGATTGACGTTGTCGTGTGGGACTGGTGTTCTTGCTCTCCAAATGCTTTTATTGTTCACATGCTTTCGTCACGGTCCATGCGATATTTCTGCTATCTGCCATGCCTTGAAAGGAAAAAAGGAATCTCCATTAACGTTGCATAGTTAGTTTTACGACCCATTTTATTTATCTATTTTAATTTCTGGACTATTTCGTGTTACTGTCACCGGTTTTCATTCCATCGAATTTCGTGTTAATCTTCATAAATATATATATATATATATATATATTTTTTATATAGATAATTTTTTAACATTCAAACTATATGCATGTCGCATCGAAGTATTGTACGTATGCATAGAAAAATATCTTTTTTTTTTAAAGCAGTTAAATTGATATGTTTGTTGTGTACCAAAAAAATTGACAGTCCATTTGTTTTTTTTTTTCTTCTTTTTGTCTTTCAAATCAAATACAAAGTGGGTGACCTTTCTCTGGAGAAAAACACAAATTGGTCAAATTTTCACTTTTACAAAATGATTATTTACAGCATTCACACCTCACTTTCTCGACCAATTATTATTATTATTATTATTATTATTATTATTATTATTATTATTATTATTATTATTATTATTATTATTATTGTTATTATTATTGTTATTGTTATTATTATTATTATTATTATCGTCGTCGTGCGCCATTGTTGCATATTTGGATGAAGTTATGATCCCTTCAAAAAGAATTTGCACTATAACTTTGACGTATACAAATTTCTAAGTAAATCTATTCAATGAATACACACACACACACACACATATATATATATATAATACAGAAATAAGAAATGAGAATTCCTGAAAATTCAATCCTCCAGCGCCTTCAGCATCCAAACTCGGATCTCAACACGATGTTTCAGATCCAATCTCAGATGCCAAAGCTAGATTCTGGAGATATATATACACATATATATATATGTATGTATGTGTTCTGAAAGAATCTTGAGTATGGTAACTCGTGTTCCTCGTCAGATACGCCACTAAGCATCCTAAAACTGAACCTGCAGCAACCTGTAACCCAAACGCATTTCACCATTCAAACACACCCTTAAAGACAACCTAAGAAGCCATGGCCGAGTGTGGTTGGGGTGCCACCTGTCCTAGAGGTGCCGGAGGTCCCGGATTCGAACAACGGGTTGGAGAGTAAGGATACAAATTAATTGTATTAAGGCGGCGTTCCGATTTAGAGTGGATGTAGTTGGACCAAAAACTCAATGAATCAAACTTAATAAAAAAAACATATCCTTGAGATAGAAGTCTCCGCACTTCCATGCTATTATTTCACCAATTATATTAATCCATACCAAACAAAAAAAAAATCCATTTTTTATGTAAAAGATGGTGAAATTCCTTATATATATAACCAATCCAGTGTGGTCCAATTTAAGACAAGAACCCTAAAAATTGACAGCTTTGTTCTCACACTCACAAGTCCAAGATTTCCCACTTCGATCCGTTTTTTCTCGTGAGAATCCAAAGACGATGTGATGCCTTTCACCAATGTAACATCATACGCCAACTGTCCACTGCCCAGACAAAACAATCCTTAACCACCAACAAGGCTTTTCATAGGGAAAAAAAAGTTGTCGCCGTCCCAAGGCATCAATAATTCGACACCAAAAACCAGCACGAAACACGTTTCGATATCAAGAATCCAAGATTTCTATACCCAGATTCTCCAACGGTAAGAATTCCATATCACAGACCTGTTAACCATCAGCAGCCTTGATATTTCGACCGGCGATGGCAAAGTATTCCGAACCACAGAACAGGAATCTTGGGACCATTACTAAAGCCATGAATTGAGAGAACTTGAAAATATGTATGCATATATATATATATATATATATATATTAATCAAGAAACACAGATTTGTCAACAGCATGACAAGAACAAGATGTAAGAGATGGGAGGTACGTACAACACAGGCTAAGACAGATCCTATTGCAAATGCCAGTACCTCCTGCTCCATCTTCAAGGCCTATGGCAACTGCTAAGGCAGTGACAGTGCCAGAATGCCGATCCTCCTGCTCCATCTTTTTTTTTTTCAAATGCAACAGATCTGTACTTGCAGAAACATCAATGAACAGATAATCTATGAGTTTATCCAGCAAAGGTTCTTTCTCATCAACCAAACAGATAGCTGGTGGAAAGACAAAGCCAGATCAAAGCTTATCAATTCAACCCAAATGAGAGCCAAACAGAACTAATGGGTCAAATCGGATCATAAAATCTATCAGATTTCACCGCGAATTCAAAGAGAAATTACAACTTTCAAACCCCCCTTTTGGAATTCGTTTCAAACCCAGATGAGAGGAGCCATCGAACATGGAAATGCGCATCGAATCGAATGAATTAGAAAAGGAGGCTATGATTGTACGGACCAGGTGGTGAAGACCTTGAGGAACTGAGCGAGAGCGAAGGCAAAAAAAGCGGAGAGGAGAGGGAGATTGTACGGAAGAAGGTCATACGGCGCCGGATATCCGTACCCCGCCCTGTCTCCGCCTCTCGCGTCCACCGCCGCTCTCTCGACTCTTAAAGTTTCCGACTTTCGCCTTCGGACAATCACAAAGCAGTTGGGAACAATGTCGGGGACAGAACAGATCCAGCAGAAGATCAGTTGGCTCAGCCTCAGATACAGATCTCGATTGCTTCGATCGTTGGAAGGAAGAACAATATCGTGAATTACAAGGAACAATTTCACCTTTTTAATTAAAATCAATGATAATACCAAAATTTCACCATTTTTTCAAATTAAATTCATTATCTTTGTTTAAACGGGTCTTTTTTCTCTCTCTGCATCCCATAATACAATACAACAGAAAAAGGGTTTTCCCAAAAAGACAAAAGGATGATAAAGTTTTAATTTTTAACGATAAATATACATAAAATTAGAGAATAAATACACAATTAAAGATAGAAAGATGAAATTTTTTGGACGGAGAATAGGTCTTATTCCCCCCTTGAGCTATGTTAATAGTTCATCTATACATTTTTCTCTTCAGCCTGTTGAGCAAAAGACCAAAGTTCATTGCACCAAGTTCAAAACAATCAAAGAACGCGTGTTGTTGTTCATCGAAACACTAGAGACTAAACTAAGTGTTTGGTTTCAGAGAGGGGACATCTAAGGCGAGAGAGAGACAGAGCCACTGTGTTTGCTGGGCAATGGAGTGTTCATCCTTGAACCACGTTTGGTGGGGACTAACTCAGGTGTTCTCTCTGGTCTTGTCTCTTCCAGTCCTGTCTCTTCCCTTTCGTTTTCCGCAGCCTTGAACACTGGATGAGCATACGCATTTCCTAGGAACGCCTTCAGGTTTAGATTCGGCTCCCGGGTTTTCTCTAACGTGTCCTTGATCATCGCTTCCTGCACATATTTGCAGAAGAAACCGGTATGAATCAAAACCTGCTTTCTTTCATGAGGTTTAGTTACAGACGAAACCGGTATGCATTTCTTCTCCAGAATGGCTCAAAAACATGAAGTACATATCCTATTTTCTTCAAGTTACAGGAGATTTAGTTGCTCACCTGTAATGGGTATTTGACAAAGGCCGGTTCATATCGTCCTCTGCAGAAAACGTGGAACCATATCGTAAGCACGGGAAGCGTGATGAGCAACGGAGTTGATTGAGCAGCTTGTTTCGTACTCAGCAATCCCATCAATAGCAGCTGAGAGACGACTAATGCAGCTATGATACGCCCGTGAACATCAGGCCAGAACGCTCCTGCACTCTCGTACTCTTGGTTGTACACGTTTATAACCTGAAACCGAGCGTTCCCATTAGCACGATAAGTGAAAAAGTTTGCGGGTTTCGCGAGAGAAAGATCTCTGATCTCGGGTCGTTTTACCTGATGGCGGTAAACTACATAAGCTAGGCTGAAGAAAACGAGGATAAAGGGGAGAAGGATGGGGCTGACAACTGCATATACGAGGCCAAGAAGGAAGTAGAGTTGAATTTGGGGTTCGCCCGTGTTGAATCCTATGGTTCCGGGATCCATTGCCTCTTCCCGATCTTTCTCTGTTTTCACGAGGAAGAAATTCTTCAGATGATAGATTATCAGCGGCTTCAACCTCAGTATCTCTCCAGCCACACCGGCCCATCCATCCACCATTATATACGTTATAAAGAAGGTTGCTTTCATCGGGATTGAGACTCCAATGGTCTTCGGGATACTGTACAGAGTAAAACGAAAAGGATATAACACATCTTGTAGAGACAAGACAATCGAACAGAGACAGACATGGATAAGGAACATACTCATTTGCGGACTGGTTAAGGAAGCTGTTCAGCTGTTGAAACGCAGTTCCGGTGATTATACTTCCCAGAAACACGTTCACGAACTGGAAAATGTAGTATCTAGTTGCGGATCTTCGTTCTAAGGTTGATAGGCTGATAAAGCCTTCAAATTTGGACATCAGCATCAATATACTTGGGAGGAAAATGAGAAATATCTTCAGTGCGATCCCGGGAAGGAAACCTTGGATGAATGACTTTATCACTTTCCTATCAATATTAACACAAACACAGCCTGTGATCAGATAAACAATCAATAGAACGACTGCCATAACGGGACTGTACCAGGTTCACATACTCAGAAACTTACATTTCTATAATGGGTTTTAGGAAAGGCACAGCCTTTTCGATGCCTTCGATATTGGCGAGGGACTGGACAAACGCAATAGGAATCACGAAGAAGAAAGTGAGGAAGAAGAAGGCGACAGCTATAACGAGCCTTCGTATCGTGAGTTGGACATATGGCAAAGCAAGGTTGTTCCAGTAGATGTCACGAGGCTCCGGGGCCCACTCTGTCAGCCACACTGTCGGATTTCTCGACTGTTGAGTTTGAGCGCAGACAACAGCTCCCCAACGGCTCTTGAACGATACGAAAGCTGCCGGAACAACGGATTTCGGGCTGCTCATTATCTTTTCCTTCTCCTCCGATATCTGAAAACATTGAAACTCAGTTTGATCCGTGAAAACAAAAAAGGCGTCTTGCAACACGAGAATGTATTCAGGATCTGATGCTTACTCTTCTCATTATACCCTCGATTTTAGAAGTGTAGTACTCAATGGCATCAACGGATTCACCCCAACACCCGAGAAATCCCATCTGCTCGGGGAAACGAAAAAAGAAACGGTCTTTAGGAAGGGGAAGGTGGAAGATTTCTGATGAGAAAGCTTTGTGGTTTCCAGCTTCCAAAGATTACCTTTACAAATGGCCTTTTAGACGGATTTCTCGTGTGTTTGTTTTGATAGTAATCGAGCCAATTCTGCATCTTCTTCCTCTCATCGACCAACTCCGAGAGTTTGTTTGCATTACAGACAACCTATTCATATCGGTAATGGATCATTCTCTCATAAATGTTTCAAAGTAGACAGCCTCAGATGAACATAAAACATAAATACAAAGTAAGATAAACCAAAACAGAAAACAAACCTGATAACTGAGGTAGTGATCAGGATGGTTGACCTTGAAGAAATGCTCAACAAGTTCACTGATTGATTCGTCGGGATCGGGAGGAATGTTCCTTACCAGAACCTACACCGAAAAAAAGAAAAATCTTCTTACGATGAGAAATGTTTTTCAGACAAGACCACATGGTTTTTTGATTCAGAAGGTTTCATTACAGTGAACTGGTCAGGCCGCCTTTGCTCGGATGCAAGAAACTGAAGCCTCATGGAGGCGATATTCTTGTATTCCCGGTTCAGGACAAAGCATGTCCAGAAGGTAAAGGCATAAGCCATAACCAAATGCGTCCAAAATCTGCGGAAGAGTGTAAAAAAGGCAAAATCTTGACATGTTTTACATGTCGGAACCGCAAAATCACAACAAATTTGCAGAGTCCATTTCTACCTGGAAGAACCGGTTGGAATATTCGATATAGAGAGCTTATCTATATCGCTGTACGTCAAATTTAAATGCTTCAGCTGATCCAACGTGTGGTTCGTCCAGTTCACCGGCACCATCACTGTGAAAGCAAGTAATGCTATTGGGAAGAAGATCTTAATCCTGCACTTTCGGACCAGACATATGAAGGAACTATGTAATCCCCACTTAAGATATCGTCTTGAAGTATTAAGATATACTTAATCAAAGCTGATAATCTTAGTTCGTTAACAGAATCATGGCTAATTACAACTAGATTATACAGTCTTTAGTTCACTACAAGATTCAAAACCACACAAAACCGAGAAGCTAGAGCTAAACACAAAACCGGGATATTCAAAGCCCAAGTTGGAAAAAAAAAGAAGGTTTTTTTAACCATACCCGAGTAAGTAAATCCTCAAATAAACGACGGAATCCAATCCTGCGTGATCGATGAGTTCAGGTTCCGGCATTCTCAGTGCCTCGGGCATCCAGTTGAGGAATCTGACATATGATCGAAAGTCCAGATTGACAAACTTGCTTACAAAGGCACCTGTCCTATGGGGACTACTCCTCAAGCCTTTCAGATACCATTTAGGGAAATAGACTCTGTCATTCACAGGCTGAATCCTCAGAATGGCAAACGCTATAAAGAAGGCGAATGCGCTGAGAATGTTGATCGCTGCCGCAATCCCGATATCGTTCAATGTAGCCATTTGTAAGATGAAATGCCTTCCTGAACATACAAGGTAACGAAAACAGTAAACATAACCGGGATTTTAACGGCATTCATCGGTCGATATGCCGCTGGAGAGTTACCAGGACCGGGATTCTTCCAAAACAAGGAGTGGCAAAATAGAAGCAGACATGAGAAACTGACTGAATTTCGCCAGAGGAAGAG